TGAGACTGTATGTTTTTGTTCTATTCTACTTATGCACAGTCTATCTTACTAACATTCTTTGTATGCTTCTTCTAGAGTCTGTATCAGATCCTAGTGAGCAGGTATGTGCCTTTATTTTCTTTTGCCTTCAGCACCTATGTCTCACTTCTTTGTTTGTCTCACTTCTTTGTTTTTCTATGTATGTAGAGATCTCTGGCCTCTTGGTAGATCATTGGTAAGTTTATTCTTCATACTATCTACTCAGGGATTGGATCTGATTCTATGTTTCTTCCAACAGGACTTATGCAGGTTAGTAATTCACAGGGATTTTTTTCATGTAATTTATTGTAGCACAGTGTTGTCATGTATCTGTACCCTACTGTAGTGAATATATAGTCTTTCTTTGTCTTCCTGATGAGTGTGATGATCCTATAGAAGAAATCCTAATCCAAAACAATATTAGTTGGGTGGAAAATGACTATAGAAGCTCTGAGAGCTCTGAGAGCACTGAGAGCTCTAAGAGATATTGCCACTATACATAGGAACAAGAGATCCATAAGTTGCTAACATTGATATGGTAGCTCTCAATGCTCTTCAACAATATTTGTTCTATAGTATCCCTATGAGAAATTTCCTGGTTTGCTGATGGGCTGCATTCCGGCTCATTCCATATTTTGCACGACAATTGATTCTACTGCCGGCTTTGGGTGACTTCGTCGATGTTCCAACAGAACAGTTACAGAAGTTGCAGGATTCGGTCGATACCGACCCGGAGGATGAAGACTGGGTTCCGGACGACGAGATTACGCGTTGACACAAGTATGGGGGACGACCGGGGATGTGACCCACAATTTTTTTTTTTCTTTCCCCTCTTTCTTTTCCTTTTTGTTCACGCTCAGTAGGCTCTATTTTGGTTTCCCGTTCCCGTCGCAGTTATGTTCTTGTTCTCCGTTTCGTTCTTCTTCACACCCTTTTATTTTTGGACCAATTCTGCTCACACAAGAGCCTTGGTTTTCTGAGCATCCCAGTTTTATTCCGATCTATGCACTTTCAACATCAGTGCCTCCATCCACCTTGATCCCTACATGCTACAGTTCACCTCTACATTGCTATCAAGTTCAGGTGCCCTTGTCCCGCCGGGTTATTGCCTTCCTCCATCCCCTCATCATCGTCCATATCGACCCGGAAGTCCATCCCCGTGGCCCCGACTCGTGGGCTATAGACCTCTCTATCGCGTGTCCCGTACCGGAACTCCGCCTCACTAATAACCTCCACGTCACGATCATCTACGATTTCACCTGCCCATTGCTGCTCCTCCTCCCGTCTGCGCTCAGTGGCCGCCCGATCCATCTGGTCCTCGACTAACTTGGCAGCACGATACCCCTCCAGCTCCCTACGACCCATGCGCTTCAAGAAGGTTCTCTTCGAGTCGAAGAATGCTCGCATGTCCTCGATCTGAGCCCGGACCTGGGATACACTTTCCTCGTATAACTCGCTGCGCAGGTCCACCAACGCTAACTCCTTCCGGATCTCCCCGTACATGGCCGCATACATTTCGGATGAGTCGCGTTCGTGCAGCACAAGTGGGAGGATAGGCTGAGTGGGGACGGTCGCTGGTGCGTTGACAGGGTTGGCCTCATGAGTTCGAGCGGCGGTGCACAGGCGTGCGTGCTCTCGGGCATGGAGGAACCGATTGGCGTCCAGCTCCGTGAAACTATCCTCCGACCACATCCCTCCGCCGAGTCCTACGGCTGCGGGTGACCCGCCGCGTCCGAACCCGTTCCTGCTCATCATCTCCTCCAACGCATCCACGATATGTCCCTCCCCTTCGATGATTTCTACAACATTGGCATTGGCGATCCGGGCCTGCGTGTTCCGTGTTTCTTCTTCCAGGTCGTAGACCCAGAGCGGGGCTTCCCCGGCCGGAAAGAGCATACTGCGAACCATCTGTTGAACGACGCGAGGGTCCGGACGGTTCTGAGGAGTGTGCTGGCTAGCCTCGAGTACGGTGGCATAGACCGTGTGGTAGTGCGAGCGGGTGATGGTGCTCTGGGGCTCGGTGGGGGTAGCCATTGCAACAAGGTGGAATTGCTGGAGACATTCGGCATCGCCTGTGCGCCCTTTTATGAGGGGTCCGGAGCCCTGCCTCTCGAAGCCGCTGACCGGGGACGGTCAGTAGTTTAGTTGGGAGGAGGGCGACTGGCTTGGTAACGAATCCCGCTGGATCCCACTCTGGACACCCTTATCGCGGACGAAGCATACGAGATAGGAGAGGAAGCATATGGTTTGCATAATTGAGGTAATCACTAAAGCCTCATGTACAAAGGAAGCACCGGATCCTTTATTGTTACCGAACCCCGCTCAACTCGTAGCCCTCCGACCCATCTACTCATCCACCAAGCAGCTCATCTCCTCCATGTTCGCAATCGCCTCATCCTCAATCCGGAGCATCTCCAGGGCCTTCTGCTCCGCCTGCCTCGCGCACTTCAGCTGCTCCTCTTGGATAGCGACCAGATGTCCCTGGCGTAGAACCTCACGATATAACATCCACCTCGCAGATTTACGAGCGGCAAGCTCCGACTCGGGGGCGGGATAGAATTCCGTAGGCGGAACAACCTTAGTGCGTTTAGCACCGCTGGTGCTGGCGACATTAAAGGAGACTTTGCGTTTGGCTAGAAGACTGTAAGGATAGGAGGACGCAGGAACAGGGCAGAGCGGACGTACCAGCGGCCCGAGTGGCACGAGAAGGCTCAGGATCCTCAGCAAGCTCAGTCACGGACGGAGTGGAGGCGCGTGAAGACGGAAGTTCCGGAGGGGCGGGGACGATCTTCCGTGGACGAGGAACAGAGGGAGCAACCCCAACAACGCGGTGGTCCTCAACGAGAAGGCACTTCGCCTCCTTCGCGTGGAAGCAGGCCTGGCAAGCGACCCGGTTGTCGATGGAGGACGCAATCTTACCAGGCGAGTAAACGCAGTCGACCTTGCGCTTGACACAGTTCTGGCAAGCAGTCGGAGACTATGACAGGATTAGAGTCTTGGAGGCGATGGAAAACACGAGAAGACGAGCAGGCCCACCTTTGTCAACTCTGGCTGCTTAGCGTCTTCGGATTTGGCGCTAGGACCTTTCTTCACGGCGGCGCGTGGCTTCCTAGAACTCGAACCAGGAGGGATTAGCAACTGGGCTGAGCCGGAGGATGGACCAGTCGAAACACATACCGGCCTGGTGCAGGGTCATTGGCGGTAGTATCAGCCGGTTTAACGTTTTGATGCGTACCGCGTACTTTACCCGGAGCTTTCGCATTGGGGACGTCACTGGCAGAAGGGAGCAGCTGGGAACTAGTGAAATCCGGCACCGAGAGCGAGTGGGCAGTAGCAAAATCCGTCGCGCCAGCGCAAGACCTCGTCCGGACGAACTGGAAGTCGCATATGTCAATCCAAATGCGAGCCGGAAACAGATGGAGTACGCACCTGTATAACTTCGCTCCGTTGGGCCTCTGAACAGCCCTCAGGCCACTGAAAACGGGATGCGCACGATGTCACAAACCCTTCACCAAGGCAGCCATCTTCTAACGTCTCCATACGGTGTATGTCGTCTCCCACCCAAAGCCCAAACCCAGCCCAGGTGAACGCGTGGAAATCGATGCAGAGTTGTTTGGTAGCCATTTCCGTGAAAGGCAGTAGGGGTAGAGGCGGACCGGTGGACAGCCACTCTCCAAATTCCTCCAGCAGTGCACGGTTGTTGGGAAGTTCAAGGATGAGAGATTCCCTGCGAGCGCGGGTATTGTCCAGCATATGGGAGACGCCTGCATTGACGATGTTCAAGTCCCGGAAACGAACCTAGACCCAATCCGGTAATGCGTCAATATCGCCCTCAGAAGCGATAAGCTGGGAAGGGATGCACCAAGATTCGCTTGAGCCGGGTCCAATACTCATGCACATTCTCAACCTCCGAGGCTGCTTCTCCTTCCGGTACCGTCTTCTCCAGGATACTCAAGTCCGACATCAACGCCAATAGTTCAACAGGAGCCGGAGGCATTTTGGCAGGCGTAGATGTAAGCCATTTATAAAGGTACTGCTAGTAAGGATAGGATCCTTTACAAAGGTTCCTCTGGCCCAAGAATTATAAATGCCAGTACTGGGCTGGCTACTGGGGCGGCCGGGGGGTGATTCTGGGTGGCCGGGTGGCCCAGGGTGATGGGGTAGGGTGTACGGGGGTGGTCCTAGGGGTAGGGTAGGGGGTAGGGGATTGGGTAGGGGTGCTGGGGAATGGGTAGGGCGGGTAGGTAGGGCGGTATA